AAAGCATGCTGTAATGTTTGATTAATGGGTAGACGGACTGAATTTTGGAAAACATAAAACGCAAACGTGAGGTAGACGAACAGACTGTTTGAAATCGGAATTCCATAAGAGGAAAGTACATTTTGGAGGGAAATTTTTTTTGACGGCACTTCTGTTTTTATATATATATAGATGATGTAGTTTAAGATTTTTATTATATGTTTAATTTCAAGATTTTCATGTCATTTTAATACTTTTTAATTAATTATTGTGTGTTTAATGCTCTTATAAATTGATTTAGGGATAATACTGAGATCGAGAGGTGATGTATAATCTAGCTCGTGCGATAATTGCCATAGACATTATAAGAGATCGAGAGATAATTATAAATTATGCGATCTTTGTTGAATTCCTATAGATTAATGCGTTCACGTAAGTGTGAATTTACATAGAGATATAGTAAGTTCGGGTATATGAATAGAATTAATGTTGTTCAAGAGAGATTACTAAATACAATATGTTAATTCGGTCGTTAGCTGGTATGAAAAAATGATTGAATGAATTACAATTAAATGTATAATAAATAACTTAAGTGAAATTGAAAATTCTAACTATCCAGTCACGTAATCTTATTTACAGTTTTAATTTGAGTTTGTTATTTTATTTAATAGTTTACTATTTTATTTATTAGAATTTCGTTTAAAAAACAAAATTTAATTTGATCATTAATTAGTATTTTAATTTAAATTAAAGCTATGTTAGTTTAAAAATATATATCAAATAGTAATCTTTGTAAGACGATATTCGAATTTAATAAATTCACTTTATTACTTGTTACGATATGTACACTTGCGTTATTTCACGAACACATAACAATGATTATAAAACAAAACGTGCTATAATGAGAGAAAGTCAGTTTACCTTTGAATTATTGTAAAAATCCAAATATATATGATATTCAAAGTGGGAACCTACAAAACTACAATTATTTAGTCAGTAGTGGACTTATTTGTATAATTGAGCTGTGTTCTAGACCCTGATGTGGAACCTACAAAACTACAAATAAAGTTCTGAGTATCAAGATCCCCTTTTTTTAATAAATAGAGTTTTTTTCCCCTTCAAATAACTTTATTTTGGCCAAGAATAAATATAGTTTCAACCAACGAAATTGCAGTACATATTATAGACTTATAGTGTACCTCAATGGACCATGGGCTTACCTTCATTGATTCGTATTTTGTAGTTCAAAACTATTGTAATATATCTTAGTAGCTAAGTTTAGAGAAACAAACAAGTTTTTTTTTAAAATCCTTTAATCATCTTCAGTGCTCTTAAATTTGACATATCAAACATGTCATTCATCAATGTGAAAATCTATATATTTCAAGATGAATCTTTGTAAGTTTGGCAATTTTTTGTGGCTTATTGGTAGTAGCAGCAGCAACAACAGAATGAGTACTTCTAGTTATTATGTGTGTGTTTGTCTCCCATTAATGAGAGAAAAATAGAGTAATGAATAGTATTTTTTTAAAAATATGTGGTTGAAAATTAAAGTAATTTTATTGATTTGTGTGTAGAATATTTTATTAGGTGAATGTGTCGTCGAACACAAAAGATTCCATTGTTTGAAGACTAAAAAGAAACCGTCTTCTGAAAAATCAGCTTTGCTAATTCAAATCTTCCATGTAACCCTTGGATGATAGCAACTGCTCTATTATTTCTTATTGATTCAAATATTCATCTCTCCATTGATGATTCTCCACTGATCTCAAGCTCCATTGCAACCTCCTTCATACTAGGCCTCTCTTCTCGTTGTGATCTGAGGCAACATTCAGGAAGTTTTGCAACTCGTTTCACCTGCTCAATTCGGTCCTCTCTTATCAGATTCTTGTCAACTCAGACCTAAGCATAACCAAGTATTAAGCGGCAGAACAAGAGAAAAATTGTAACTGCAAAAGCCA